AAGACAACATCAGCATGTATTATTCTAGCAGTCCACACCCACATACTGTAATTATGCTGTCTTACTGCCAAGATACACAAAGCCACACGTAAAGCCAAACTTTGTTTTAAAATGGATTTCCTTCTTCCTGTCTAAGGAGGGTGGTTGCTGATCCTGGACCTTGGAATCTGAGCCCAAAATCTGCATAATAGGGGTGGGTAACTTGTCACACAGACTGTAAATCGCATCATCCTTCTCTATTGGTTATGATGGGTAGGATTGCTTGAGTAGCTCACTTGTATAACATATAGATTAGATCATGCACTTGGCGCCTAGCAACACCATAAATAAGATCCGTTTGTCCTCATTTTATATGTAGAGGAAATGAGAAGAGGAACAGTATCAGACTGTTAAATTGGCATTAAGGTTTCATGATGTTGTTACAATCCTTGTGGGGAAGATAATGAATCAACAAAAACTGAACAATCCAGTATCGCTTACGCAACTTCTGTCTGCACTTTGGTTACCACCCCAACTTCTGAAGTAAAAAATTAATAGGAACCAGACTTCCTCAAGTTATACAAGCTGTTCTCCAGATCTCTCAGAAGGGCACAAAGTAAACGAAAGAGTCACAGTACATCAAATTGATTGGTAAGGAAATGTGCTTGGTACACTCTGAAACAAATACACAGTCATCTACAATAATGATGGTGGAATGTTCCTGTGGAAAAAAAATACCAGTATATTGTGGGGAAAGATCCATTTTACACAAATCTACAATAATGATGGTGGAATGTTGCTCTGGAAAAAAAATATATTGTGGGGAAAGATCCATTTTACACAAGCATATGAGGGTTATTTGCTGAATTTATATATGTTTTTAATCTGTTGTAAACCGTCCAGAGAGTGTGTGCACTATGGGGCAGTATACAGTACAAATTAAAAGAATAATTATCCACCATACTGTACATACAAGTAAATACACTCACAGCTGAATCTCAAATTTATGTCAGCACAGCTAGTGTTGTAGGCTTCTGTCGAAGAACATCTGGGGGTCCAAAGTTGGGAACCACTGCTCTCCATGAAGGGTGTTGAATATCTGGCCTTCCAGATGTTTAGATTGTACATGCTACAACCTCGTTTTCATTGATGCTCCAGTTGGCGCTGATGAGCATTGTGAACAAGCACATGTATAGAACCAAAGAGTCGCTTAGGGCTTAACAATATAATATGGCTTTTGCAATATTTTTTCCTTTAAAAATAAATATCTGTATAAAACACACAGGCAGAAGCTACGGTCTTTTATTTTATAAAATATTATAAGACTCTTTATTTTTGTTGCTACAGACTAACAAGATTTTTTCAGTGAGACTTGATAAGATAAATGTGCATAGGATTGCAGCCTGAACACAATGAGCTCTCTAGAGGTTGCCCAACAATGCAGAATAATTTTATCTCATCTCAGACAAGAGGTCAAGCGAGTGGAAGATTTGCTCTTACCTTGCCCCTTGGGCAGAGGCAGGGCCCTTTCCTCACCAGAAGAAAGCACAAATCAGTGGGAGGTTGGTTATGCCATATGGCTGTATCAGAAGCCTCTGTTGTGATTTGATATGATGTTAGTTCCAGTCCTCTGATAAAATTTTAAGAAGCTTGAAAGTTACAATAGTTTCTGAAGCTGAAATATATGAAATATATATGTCCAAACACCAAAAAGAAATCCTTGCACATAGAAAGCACATGAAACTAGGTGTTCTGCTTTTGTTATTTATAGTTAACTTTTGGGCTATCATAGCATTCTATATTTGTTGCTGATTATTACACTTTTGGGGACTTGGTGGCACTGTGGGTTAAACTGCAGAAGCCTCTGTCCTGCAAAGTCGGAAGACCCAATCCATGTGACGGAGTGAGCTCCCGTCACTTGTCCCAGCTCCTGCCAACCTAGCAGTTCGAAAGCACGTGAAAATGCAAGTAGATAAATAGGTACCACCACGGTGGGAAGGTAACAGTGTGTCCGTGTCTAGTCGTGCTGGCCACGTGACCACGGAAACTGTCTTCAGACAAACGCTGGCTCTACAGCTTGGAAATGGGGATGAGCACCACCCGCAGGAGTTGGACACGACTGGACTAAATGTCAAGGGGAAACTTTACCTATAACCTTTACCTATTACACTTACATTCAAAAACCTGAATAAACATTGAGTGGAATCTTATTACCTATTTACACCAGTGTAATTCTATTAGCATCAGTTTCAGGGATGAACTACTGCAAATTAGGAAGTCAGCATAGGTATTTGCTGTTGTGCACTGATTCATAAAACTCTGTGCACAATGTAAAATACTTATGCTGATTGTTTAACTTTTAGCAATTGGCCAACCGGATTTGTACCAATTAAGTATAACACCAGGTGTAACTAACAGGATTTGGGGGCATGTTTTAAAAAACAAGAATAAGCTAAGGAGAAAGGTTCCAACTAATCTGTTTGTCTGTTACATTGGTTTTGCAGATGTATTTTAACAGAGAGGAACACTGAAAAACTGGAGTGTACAATGTGAACATTTAGGATAGTGTAAATATTCCATTCTGTGATTTTGTTCTGTAACTTGTATGCATTGTTTATTTAAACCAAGTTTATCCCACCTTCTTCCAAATGTTTTGGTTTTCAGACTTGCCATCCAGAATAAAGTTTGCAATGCAATCTCTGTTTTAATTTTAAGAGAACAAATCTAAAACACACACTAGAATATATTAGAACGTGTAACACTGTTGAAATAGTATCAGATATTGGCTGAAATCCTTTTGTTTAACATACCAAATTGCAACTAGAGTAGGCCCACTTTATCCATTAAACATTTGGGGATGACTCATGAACTCTCCAGATTCAGCAGCCCTATTTTTGGTGCAACTTACTGCACTAAGCAACAGAATTTCAGCCATTGTCACAGGTATGTATGTCACTTTGCCACCGCTGTTTCTCTACAGCATCTCACCTGGTAGCAACCTATCTCACGGGTCTGGTGGTGTCAGGTGGCTTCTACTATTTCCTTTGGGCTGATGGGAACTACAGTCCAACATTTGGAGGGACATGTTCCCCAGCCCTGCTACTGCAACAGTTACTGTAACAGAAGGTACAATTGTGCTGTAAATCACTACATCTCAAATTCAACCTGTTGAATGTTAACATGTCAAAAAGGTTCTCAATGCCAACCCAGGATGGAGTGTTGATGACGGTACAATGGACCCTCTACTTAAAGAATTAATCCGTATTGGAACGGTCGCTGCAAGTCGAAAAGTCTGTAGGTCGAATCTCCATTGACCTACAATGCATTGAAAACCGATTAATCCCATAACTGGCAGTTTTTATTCTATTTTTGTTCCATTTTGGTTTTTTTCTGGTCTGTAAGTCGATTCTCCAGCTGCAAGTCGAATCTAAATTCTGCGGTCAGAGAAGTCTGTAACTCGAAAAGTCTGTAAGTCGAGCCGTCTGTAAGTCGAGGGTCCACTGTATAGGCAGTGTGCAAGTACTACTTTGTTTTCTAGGCCGTTGGACATTATTCTTGAAACATTATATAATTATGTGCTGTCATGTCAGTTCTGACTATATAGTGACCCTCTTCAGGGTTTTCCAGGTAGTGGATACTCAGAAGTGATTGACCACTCTCTTCTTCTGGAGGCATCCTGGGACTGTACAGCTGGCCCAGGGTGGCTTGTTCTGGAATACATGGGGGGATTTGAACTCCCAACCTTAGGCTCAGCAGCTAGACTCAACCACTGAAAAATATCCAGAATTCCCAGGTCCTGTGGATTTATTACATGACTTGTTTTAGAAAAATAACATAGAACTTACTCTCAAAAATCCACAGGACAGTGCCTTTATTAGAATTTTAAAAGCGCAAAAGATGAAGCACTTTTGAGAGGTTACCTTTTTTCTCTCATGTTTAACGTGTCCCCTTATGATTGAATGTCTCTAGAGCTCAAAAGCTTGCCTATTCCCTGCCTTTACAAGTCATAATAAAGGTGTTGCTCATGATTTGTGGGACTTTGTTTTATTCCCAGGAATCCACACAGCCTCCTCTTCTCGGATACGTTATGACACCTAGTATTAAAATATGAATATTACTCAATACGTATATCAAAATATACGCAGACATTCATATAGCTGCCAAGAAAGAATTTGGGGGGGGGAACGAACCCCCACCAAGCGAGGGACAACCCCCCCGCGACTGGATTAGGTCAGTGGCACAAAGATGGCGATCCCGCCCAAACCGAGGCCAACGTCCGTCTCGACGGCGCTCGAAGAACGGAAAGGCGTGGGGGAGGGGAAGCAGGAGAAGACACGCTCGTCAAAGTGCGACGTCCGAAGATCGCCGAACTTACACGAAGAAGGGAGCGCTTTCCGAGGCGACGTCTCCGCCCCCTCCTTTTAACACTTCCGAATACTTCCGAACCTTCCCGAAGCGCGGAAAGCCGAGCGTTTCCGAACGCTGCCCGCGATGCCTTTTGTGGAAGGTCCCCGCGCACGAAGGCCCGCCGAACACCTTCGGTCGAGAGGGAGGGAGGCGGAGCTTCGACGAAGAGGAGCCGAGCGGTTCCGAAGGGCGACGTCCGCCCCTCCTCCCTCCCTCCCTCTCTGGAGTTGGAAGGAAAGCCGAGGAGGCCGAAAAAGAAACTCCCGAAGACAGGCGGGCGGGGTCCGGGCTGGCCCGTCCGTGAGGGGAGCGCGAGGCCGGATGTGAGCGGGGCGGCCGCTTCCTGTTTCCTTACGCGCTCCGCTGGCCCGCCCGCCCGCCTCGCGCTTTGGGTGGTGGCCATTCCTTCCCTCAGCTGC